TGTCGGTCCTTCCGAAGGGAACTCCATACGTACCACCTACATACTTCTTAGTCTGGCACAACTTCCCTACTCGGGCATTGAAGTCGCCTGCTAAAACAACTATATCTGCAAGTTTTGTTTTTTGCAGCAAATTAGACAGTTTCTGATGGAAGTCATCTTTTAGTTCATCCAAACTGCAGTCTGTTGGGGCGTAAGCGGAGACTACGAAAAGGCAACGACGGGTAGCGCCGTCTTTCCTTCTTTTAACGGACCCATTCAGACGGACCGCGCACACACGAATATCTACTGGGATCCAGTCAAGAAATGATTTTTCCGCCCTAACACTCAGTGCTATCCCTACCCCTGTGAGTCCTCGCGAGCTGGTTGAGGCGTCTGCTGACACCCTTTTAGTGATTTTTGAAGATTCACCTTGTTGACCGGGTGACGTTAAATGAATGACCACACTCGGATCTTGTATGCGCGTCTCCGAAACACAACATGCATTCATGGCTCGAGATTCCAGAGTTCTTGCTAGTGATGCCTGTTGTCCGATTTGGCAGAGGGTCCTGATGTTAAATGCTCCAATATGAAGTTGGCGACGTGCCTTTAAAAGGCTCTCTGGGGTGTTTCTATGGCTCTCACCGTTGTTTGTGGTCACAAAGTGAAGTGAAGATGACTCACTAGCCTGCAGAATAGTACTAACTCTAGTACAGAACCGAGATGAGGAAGGTGATGTGAGTAAAGGAGAATGATGCTCAGGAAGGCTTCGTGTGCTTTTGGAAGTGTGTGGACGGTTGTTACTTCCCGGCTGCCCACACCGTGGAAGTTGATTGATTCTTCAGGTGCTTGAAACAGAAAGAGTGTTGCGTAACCACAGACCCCACGGGACAACTGCTTGAGGCCAGTCACACACGACCTGTGTGAACTGGTTTCTGGGATTAGTTCCGTATTATTAAACTTACCGCCGGTTACGGACCACCGCAGAGTAAGTCGGGAGGTACAATTCTAACCCCCTCTCTTCGGAGTGGAGAGACAGCATAGCTGGCATGTTGGTCATCCGAGGGAAACATCTCACTGCTGTTACAGTCCTGTTCCCCAGCAGTACGACTTCGCCCTCAGACCCAGCATAGTGTAAGAAAGATTCTTACACGATGCCGACAACTGCTTTTAGCCTAATCGCTATCACAACAACCTTCCTGGCATGGTAGGACCTGCAGGAACATTTGTTCCAGCCAGTGTACCTTGTTGGGTCATCGCGATGTGCAAGCCCGACCACCACGTCAAGGTAGCAGCTATCGGTCAGGACGAATGAAGGTCAAGTAATATTGGTCATAAGAAAATCTATATTTGAGTGAGAAATGCATTATTATTATTATTCCCTTGGGTTCCAAGATGAACATAAGGCTTCAATAATACATCTCTACTTCGTCCCATTCTGCGCAGTCCTCTTCAGTTGGCCCCACGATTGCCCAAAACTTCTCATCTTCTCCTCACACCATCTTCCCCATGTCGCACGCGAACCACAGCCAAACTCGTCGTTTCCTATTCGGATTGCTTCCACTCTGGAGATGGCCTGATGTGAGATTTCACTCGACAGTCTCCTCAACGTGTGCCCATTCCATCTCCACTTCTTTCGACATATTTGTTGAGCAAAAGGTTCTTGATTGCTTCGTTCGTTCGTTCCCAGAGTTTCCTGCTGCTAATTCTTTCTCGCCAGCCATTCGATCTACAATATAGAACCAGTGAGGACAGCTATTAATGAAAGTCTGCAGTGACATATTGCTTTTCATGAGGTGCAGTGCAAGTCTCTCACACATACAGAAGAGTCGACTGACTGACTGATTTATCATTTGTGTTGAAAAATACATAGAAGTATATATAACTTCATGAGTGGTACATTCATCATATCACGGTTATGTTATTAAATTACTCAGTAATATTGTGACGACAGAAGACAAGGGCCAAGCAACAGATCGTTGATTGAGAAAATCAAGAGATTTTTGTGTACATTATTATTAGCGTCATTGTTAGCAGAAAAGCAACGTCTTCTAATTGGTTGTTTTCTTGCTGAAGGTTATTCTGTACTGCTTGTGACCGTTTCTTAGAAAGTTAAGCCATATATCCGCGAATCGTATTTTCACACGTTAAATCTGCTGTGACTGGTTGGTGAGTTCCTGAAGGTTATTGTTTTTTCTTATGACCCCGATTCGGTATGTAAACATTGACGTAAATTGTTGTCTACAATTTTGGCTTGCACACAGCTCTCAACACAATATTACAGAAAAAATGACTTTCAGAAGATAACGGTTAAACATGTGCATACACAATTGTGATTCCTCGTTTATGAATCCGAACAAAACTGATCAGTCTGATTTTGGCCTATGTACTATTTTGGTGTATACTTCTATATTGACACGTTTGTTGGTAATGGCTAACAGTGGAGTCCAGGACTCACGTTTCGTTCTACTGAGGATGTATCTGCTCCTTAGTGAGTGACATTGTTCTCACTGAGTTAGACATGGTTTCGAAAATACGAGAATCTGAACCTTCGAACATGTGTATCGAAAGGTATATCCTGTGCCAAACAGTTTCACGTAAAGCCTCATAATTTCCACAGTGCCTAAATTTGTTTCTCTGAGAAACATCAATCTCATTACTTAATTATTATGATACTAGTCAAATATTTCCGTTATAGATTCAAAACTATTTATTAAGTGAACATGTTTTGAATTCCATTAAAAAAGTCATAATCACCTATAAGTCAGATAATGAAAATACCTAGCTAATTGTCGTAAAAGGGCGTTGCATGAAAGTAAGTCGTACAACAATAATCTGAAATAGAGGTAACACATTTCCCAGTGTGTGAGAAGCAGGCTCCCCACTGCGAGCAGCAATCCTGTAATCATTCCTTATTGTTCAAATTTATGAGTTCTAACTAAAGAGAAACGACTATTCTTTTAAAGCCCACCAGAAACCCTTATATTCATAAACTATGTGATCGTCATAAAATGAAGAAAACTCAAAAAGATGATTCTATTTTTTGAGGTAGATTCTTTGTTTTTGAAGCTTCTACTTTCATTTCAAACAGTGACTTGCAGAAAGAGTTGTTCTAAGCCGATTTTTGTTAAAGCAGTGTGATAGTATGAACACGATTAGTTGTTACTGTTATGTGTAGCCCACCTTGTCCCCTAAAATTAGTCTGGAATGCCATTCAAAGCCTTACCTAACTCGAATTCAAAACCACTAAATAATTGAAAAACCAAGACCATATTTTCTGAATATTTGTAAGAAAAACCACTGTATCGAAGCTGCATGGACATGTACAATCAGCGTTTTCACTTTGGTAAGCAACTGAATAAAGGAATCTACCTCATAAATAAAGAAATGCTGAACAAACGCTTCACTTCTAATACGGTTCATCCTGTCGATCAATAAATATACAAGTGTATGGGTATTAATTTGTGGTAAGGCTTATAGATTTTTATACTATTAATAAATAAATTTATCTGAAGCGACTTTGTTTTAATCTAATTATTGTGGAGACATAAATTAATGTTATTAGTGATTTGTTTGTTAACTGGATAACCAATTTTTATACAATATTAATAATAATTTAGTCTTGTTTATTTTACATACCTTTTACTACAGTAACCAAAGACAGTTTTCGTTTTAAAATTAACTGGTTGAAGGATTTTATCGTGAGGTGACACCAGTTAGAAAACAATTGGAAAACCTGGGAGTACTGGACAACTGTTTCGTTAGCTTGGTTTGAGACCCCTCATCAGTACGCACCCACCACAGGGGTTCGAACCCAGGACCTTCTGGTTACAAGGCGAGCTCGTAGACCATTGAGCCACCGGGAGGTGGTCCAAATAATCTACGAACCCTGGTCGGTGCATACTACCGAAGAGTCCCAAACTCGGCGGACGAAACAGCTGTCCAGTACTTCTAGGTTTTCAAATAGTTCTCTGACTGATGTCAGCTCATGACGAAATCCTCTAACAAATCACACAAAGTCCCCTACAAAAACCAATATTTGAAAATTAACATTAACTGTAATGAACACAGGTCTTAAAGAGTAGAAACTTTAGGATTACAATCAGTGAATAACTGTCTCCACAGAAAACAAGAAAGAAATTTTAGACTTACATTTGACCAACGAATAAGACAATGGTTAAATTCGTTGAAGCGAAATTTTTGATGATAGTTTATGTATTTCATGTGATGAATAACATATGTGCGCGTTGGCGGCACAATGGTTAGGACTCTCCCCGACCATGCACATGGTCTGAGGTCCGCCAACGCACACCTGATATCTATGGTCGGCCTGCAAAATTTGGGCTACCGATATCCATGCTGAAAATTCCATCAAAAAAAAATGTTGCGATTTTCTATTTCCTCAATACGTTTATTTCAGTCAACAAGTTTAAGAACTAACATTTACGAACGAGCATTAATCACGTAATAATGGTAGTTAAAGGACTAGTAATTTAATTAAGTCTGACTTGCAAACACTTGATTGTACCTACCTAGAGTGAGAGATTGGAGACTAAATCAAAATGTTAGTTGTGATTGGTAGTTTTGTAGACTTATATTTCAATACTTTTCAACTAAGACAACTCTCAACACTTTACAAAATACAGACAGTTGACATCGTTTTCCGTTGAAAAGTAAGAAGTAACTTTCATTAACTTTGGTTTGTCAATTTGGGTAGCCCCACCGAACGTGATAACCAATATGCAGACATCTACTACCAAAAAATGTTTTGCATCAGAACAGTCCTGTTGATTCCCGAACTGTCATGAAACAGCTGTCCACACTCATCTTTCATTGATTCATCAACGAATGTTGACACATGATGGAATTTATCTTCATTCAAATAGTAATGGAAACTCCCTGACAGGAAGGAAAAACCGAACACCGGCAAAGACATTAATTAACACTGACACAATGACATTCCATTTACATTTCCAAATGCTTCATCCTCCATCTTCTTATGACTGTTGAATTGGCTAATTTTGTCAACTTTTATTCATTTCTAACAAAATTAGATGAAGTACAAAAATAGACAGGGCGGTTAAATTTAATTTTAACGGCAAATGAGAGCTGACACTAAATACGTATGACGGTGATTGATACACGTATTAGAATAAGTTACTTGATGCTATGGTGTGTAGCACACTTTAACTTTGCTAAACAACGATGCTGTTAGAGATATGTTAACGTGCGAATTAGCAAGACCGCATACTGATGATAATTGGGATATCTCATTTACACTAATTTATATGGAAGGCAGTAAAAATGGAGACAAAGAAATGAGAACAACACAGTTTGGTAGAATGCCTTAAGACGAAACGGTAGGGCGAATATATGGATACAACATAACGCTTAGGATTAAAATACTTTGCGAGTGCAGCCTCTGAGTTATATCACCTAAAATCTGAAAGCATATGGTCAACTGATCATGCGGACACCAGAGATACAAACAAAATTCATATGTTTTGAGAAGCTGAAATACTCTAATCACCTAGTCACAACTGTATACTTTACCCCAAATTAATAAAACAGTATTTGATGAGTCAAACTATATAGTCTCAATCGATCGATGGCATCCGTGAGAACTTGTAGTTCTAAATGTCAAGTTAATTCCTAATTGTTAAGAGTCCACGTAATATTTGTGAATACCTTGCTTCACTAGGTAATGCAATGAAGAGTTTGCAATTTCAGCTTTGCTGTGGTAACTACTATTTATATCGTTACCTTTTATATTCTTATAAATTTTTGAAAAAAATCTGAAGGATAGTTGTCAAGATGTAATACCACTTATGTGCCTCATCTTTATATTTAGATTCATTGATTAAGTTGTTAAATTCCGAATCAGGTTACCTTTCTATTTTACCGCACCCGGGCTAACTGATCTCTGGTAGAATTATGTGTAGTCTGAAAATTAATTACACGAAATCAATTCATTTTGAGTACAAATCAACCGTCTCTTTGAGATTTTACGGTGCAAAGGAACTATTCTCACCTTGTCTGAACACAGAAGAATAAGTTACCCAGTTAATAAGCTGGATACAGATTCAGTGATGGAAGTTTGTTTCTTCAGTGACTTTTCCGATAAGATTAATAAATTGCTCAGTTTCGTCAACAATCCTCACCAAATGGATTAGGTGTCAATGTTTATCACGGTGATTGCTATTCATCCACCTCAGTTACTTGCTTTAAGGTAACTCCAGTCTGTCTGTCTGGATTCAACATAGAACTTGGCACCGAAGTGCAGCAGTTCGAGTTGCCACGTTCCAAATAGCACACAGAGGTAGACAAGAAGATGAGTGAAGAGAATCAATAGAGTTTGACAAGTATAAGAGTGAAACAGAATGGGTAATGGTAGAAAGGAATATGAAAGATTACAGAGACTGAATACATCTGCGCCATTGACAACGATTTTGAGCCATGTCACCTATTGTCTCCAGCCATTGATTCCTAGAGTCCCGAGGGCCCCAACCCGGGAGTCTGCATCTCCCTACCTGACTCAGTTTAACTGTCAAGGATTTCATGGATTGATGCCATGTTTTTGTTTGGCCACCACTGGCTCTTTTCCAACCTGAACCTATATCAGCTAGCAATGCCCGTCGGGGGAGGCGGTGGTTAGGCATGCGCAGCACGTGACCTAGCCATCTTAGTCTATGTAACTTTATAGCCTCGTCGATTGATTTTCCCTCTTTGCCCAACACTCTACGCCTAACGTCAACATTACTTACCTTATTAAACCACCTAACGTGAGACAGAGATCGCAGACATCTATGATCGAAAGCAGTCAACCTTTTCATGTCTTCAACGCGTATTGGCCATGTTTCAGAGCCATAGAGAAGGACGGAGCGAACTGATGAGCAGTACACACGTCCCTTGGTTGATAACCGGATGTCACGCCTACGCCAGAGATGGTGTAAGTCAGCGAAAGCAGCTCGAGCTTTTCGGATCCGTGCTGAGATTTCATCGCCAATCAGTCCGTTGGTGCTAATACAACTTCCCAAATAGGTGAAGTGGTCAACATGTTCTATCACTTCACTCCCTATCACTAAGTTAGGGTTGACGTGTCCAGTCCTGTAGCAGCATCTTACATTTTGCAGGGGCGAATCGCATGCCAAACATACGAAGATTGCTGCTCAAGGTGTTCAGAAGACTCTGCATTTTGTCAGCATCCTCCCCTAACAGGACTATGTCATCTGCATATTCTAAGTCCATAAGATTATTCCCTGGTAACAAGTCGATTCCTAAGTCATTACGTTCAGTTAAGGATACTTCCATTAGCATATCTATGATGAAGTTAAACAGAAATGGGGAAAGTGGACATCCCTGTCGGACACCACTGGTTGTTACCAATTCAGATGACAATTCCCCATAAGCCCTTACACGACTACGTGAGTTTGAATAGAGTGCCTTGATTAGTGCAATGTACTTTCTTGGCACTCCCTTCACAGTCAGACATTGCCATAGTACCTTTCGATCCACGGAGTCGAAGGCCGCCTTCAAGTCAAGAAATATGACAATTGTTGGACGCCGAAAAGTGTGTCTATGTTCTAGAATCTGTCGAAGAGTGAAGATATGATCTATGCACCCTCTACCTGGTCTAAAGCCTGCTTGATTTTCCCTTGTCTGTTCCTCCCGAGTTCTGCTTAGTCTATGCATGATTACTGAGCCTAGGATTTTAGAGACTATGTTCGTTAGGCTGATCCCCCTATGATTATCACACGAGGACTTGTTTCCCTTCTTGAATATCGGTATAATAAGTGACTTACCCCAGTCTGATGGTACTGTCTCTGATTCCCAGACTTTGCCTAGTACCTCAGTTAATCTACAAACTAGTATGTCACCCCCATATTTAAACACCTCCGGAATAATTCCGTCGGGTCCTGCCGCTTTGCCTCGTTTCAAATTACTGATAGCTTTTGTGACCTCACCTACAGACGGCGGACCAGTGTCTATATCCCATTCGGGTGTGGTGGATGGCGGGGAGGTTCAGTGTGGCTGTAGGCAAGTTAAATTGTTCCTCAAAGTGTTCTTTCCAGCGTTCAAGGCGTCTATCCTGAGAGCTAATTAAGGAGCCATTTTTCTCAGAAATAGTCTCACTTATGAATTGCCTTCTCCCACCCGTTTCTGATGAGTCTAAAGAGTTGCCTAGTGTTGCCTATCGCCAATGCTTTTTCCATCTCTTTCGCCTTTGTCACCCACCACTGTTCACGGTCCTTGCGGAGACTTTTAGTAAGTTTCCTTTTGTGCAGCTTTCGCTCCTCATTGAATTCGGAGCTCGCCGGAATAAGTCTTCTAGCATCTATCAGTTCGGATGAGGCAGTCGAAATCCAGTGGTTTTTACTCACCTTTGGATTTGCCTTATTCACAGCTTTTACAGCTGTATCTATAGCTGACTGAATATTCTTCCAGGCTTCTCCAGGGTGAGCACAGCTGTCGAATTCAGATATGCGTTTAGCTAGTTCTTCCTCAAATAGGGATTTAGTTTCCTGATCGAGCTGGGGACGTGATGGTTTTACCGCCAGCTGTTTCCTACGTCCGTTCAGTCGTAAGCACACACGAGCCCGGACCAGTGCGTGATCGGTATCTACACACGTGTTCCAGAAGGAGCGACAATCTCCTACCGACCCACGCCAACGATAGCTTATTGCTATGTGGTCTATTTGTGTCCAGCGTTGGTTTGATGATGGGGGTCGCCAGGTTAAACAGTGTCTCTCCTTGTGTTTAAAGTTAGTGCTTACAAGAAACAAATGATTATCTGAACAGAACTGTAGGAGACGGTCACCGTTGTCGGTTCGCTGGCACGGAACTCCATAGGTGCCACCGACATCCTTCTCAGATTGACACAATTTCCCTACTTGAGCGTTAAAGTCACCAGCTAGAACGACTATATCTGAGCGTTTAGCCTTTCTCACCAAACTAGACAGCTTTTGGTAGAACTCATCCTTCGTTTCATCCGAACTGCAGTCAGTGGGGGCGTAGGCGGAGATTACGAAAAGGCATCGGCGAGTAGTGCAGTCCTTTCTCCTTCTTACTGATCCGTTCAGACGGACAGCACACATTCGGCTATCTACCGGGATCCAGTCAAGCAATGTCTTTTCTGCCCTAGTACTCAGAGCTATCCCTACGCCAGCTAATCCTCGTGAACTAGCTGTGGCATCTCCTGACACCCTCAAGGTGAATTTTGAAGATTCATCCTGTTGGCCAGGTGGGGTTAGGTGAATAACCACACTTGGGTCTTGTATGCGTGTTTCTGAAACACAACATACATCAATGGCTCGGGATGCCAGGGTCTTAGCTAGTGATGCTTGTTGTCCTATTTGGCAAAGTGTCCTAACATTAAATGCTCCTATATGAAATTGGTGGCGTGGCTTTAGGAGACTATCGGTGGTTTTTTGGCTTTCGTCGTTTTTAGTGGACACAGAGTGAAGAGGGAGTGAGGAGCCATCAAGTAGAGGAGTTGCATCAGTGGGGAAGGCAAGGTAATAGAGATGAAGATGAAGACAAAGATAAGTGAGGATTAGAGAGGTTTTGTGTGCATTTCGGATTGTGAGGGCGTTTTTACTTCCCGGCTGCCCACACCGTGGAAGTTGGTTGCGTGACCGCAGAGCCCAGGGGACAACTGCTTGAGGCCGGTCACACGCGGCCTGTTTTTGTTTGTTCTTTTTGTTTGGTGTGCCTCAGTAGCATACTTATCACTTCTGCCCTGTGACACGGCAGCAGGAAGCGCGGTCGTTGTTAATCCGGCCTGAAATTTTGTGAGTTTGTATCATGGTATTGGATGGGTAGCTGCTTTTTGTTTAACCGCTATCCAAACAACCTGCCTGGCATGGTAGAACCTCAAGAGACATAAGTCTCAGCCAGTATAGCTTGATTAGGTCATTGCGGTGTTCAAGCCCGACCACCACGTCAAGGTAGCAGCTTTCGGTCGGGAGGTAACTCCAGACATACTTCTAAATACATCAACCAAGAGAAACTATACACAAAGGAATATCCATCCCCTAATTTTCTTTAGTTAACTACTACAAAAGTGTTACTCAATTTAGCATGAATGTAGTGTGACCCACCGGCTTAAACAATCAGCTTCTAAAAAATGGATCGCAGCTTAAAACGCTACTCTCCGCCTAATTCTATTCGGAGAGCAAGATATCGTAAGCTCTCACACAATTTGGTGTAGCTCACAAGCAAACCTTGAGAAAATGTCATTTCCTAAACTGTATTGACAGTGTTGCATCCAACCTTACCACTTGACTAGCTTGAAGCAAGAGTTTCACACTTATTGCAACCCAAACATATTGCTGCTTTAGCCGCTAACAGAACAAAGTAACAAACAAGTAATTCAAAACACACATTAATTTAAAAAGAAAAGAATCAAAACACTAAGAAATTTTAAATCAATGCACAAATTGGCATACTTGGAATGTTTTCGAAGATATGATTACAACAGCCTGGATGTGTAGAGAAAAATGAAGAGAAAATAGAGGAAGAAGCCGTTAAACAATGTTATCATTAATCAAAACAAACAAAGTGGGGGAAAACTGGCTTAAATTGGACATCAAAAACAGAAAACTTTATCCATTATCAAAAATAGTGCTATATAATTACACATCTGTAGATATAATATTAGTGATTACTATTGTTATTATTATTACAATTGTTATTGTTATGAATAGTGTCAATGTACATGTGCGTACTGCTTGGAGGACATGCATTAAGAATCACAAAACGGATAATTTACAATGAAGAGAATCAGTTTATAAATGAACAAACATAATAAAAACGAAAAGTGCTTATCTCTTTCCTTCAATTATTATTTGTCATTTGAGCTTGAAGAAAAGCATCAACTAAATCAACTAATATATCATCTAGAGACTGTTCAGAAAAACAAAACAAACCAATATCTCTCATACATCCAAAGTGAACATATGAAAGCAAACATACAGACTGAAGAAGAAAAACAGAAGGAAAGGAAAACATACTAGAGGACAAAATGTGAATTAGATTAGAAAGACTAAATTTTATTGACACATAGGAATAATTTCTTCAAATAATCTTATTAAATTATCAATTCCAGTTAAATAACCATCTTCATGATTGCCAAAATGCCAAGCAGACCGATGATTGAGACGAATTTGACTGTCGCATAAAGAGAATATTTTAGCAAAATCAATCAACCATACATTAGCATAACCTGACTCATCGTGTACAAATAATAAGGAAGATCCAATGAACTGTAAGATGCAAAAAAAAAGATATATAGGAATTATTATTACTATTATAATTATTACGAACAATTGTTAACTCTATACCATCGTTAAATCAATCAGATTTGTCAGTTAATACTATAAATGTCATGAAACTATTATCCTTAATGTGAAATCAAGCATAGGTGTAACACCCTTCACCGTCGATATATATATATATATATATATATATATATATATATATATATATATATATATCGACTAGATGCACAACTAATAAACATGCTGACTATGCTTATGAATGTTTAATAGTCGACTTCTACAAGTACTCGGTTACATAAAGATATTGGAAATATAATACTATAATAACACCTAATAAGTGTAGGTGGGAAGTATTCCTTCTGTATAACGTGCAATGACATAGCTGCAGCATCTAAAAGTTGTTTTTTTATGTGTAACACACATGTCAACACTATACGGAAAGGATAATACTGTAAAATGAAATTAAGAGCAAACAGAAGGGAAGGAGAGATATTTTGTAGAGGAGGTTTTCGAAATTAAAAGATGTTCTGTTTAGCTATTATCCTAATAAATAAGCATAAGACCCCCTCTTATATGAAGAGAGAAATGAAATACAAGAATAATATGTGGTTCAAGTCACGAAACAACCCACTGAAAACAGTCATATGAATCCACATTACATGGTGTTGAAAATTCTTATCTGGTAGTTTTCCTGATGAACAGCTGGGTTTAAATGACCACATATAGTTGAAAAAGTCATTCGACAGTTTATATTATTCGTAAAATACATCTTCCACTAGATACTCTGAAAAATGACTTATGAGATCCAACCATTGATTAGATCTTAAATTTACTATGATATATCTGAAGTGGACTGAATGTCACTGATGAATGGATTTCTAAGCATCCATTCACAAGAAGCAAAATATCACAAAATACAAGCCACAAGTATCAACAAACAACGCTTATCTATCCACTTCTATAATAAATTTTTTGTAAACTAGTGTACACAAAGCCACATATTTGCATCTGAAGAGAAATATTGCTTTTCTCAAAGGAATCTGTCACAAAAACTCATTCAAGATAAATAATTATTGTATGCTTTCTGATCCAAAGAAAGTAAATTAACTCATGAAGCAAACAGTTTCTCATGCAGTAGAGTGCTAGCTGAGGATGGTTTAACAAGAAAATACGAGAGAGAGAGAGAGGGAGTTACTAAAGAATTCATTTCAGCATGCATGATGAAATCCTCCATGCAATAAAACAAAATCCCTACAAAACCAATACTTGAAAATCAATCTGATGGTCACTAGTCACTGGTCCTATTCAGGTAGGTAACCTGGGGTTCTAGTGGGAAGCCGTGACCAGTAGGGTACAGCAGGTTGAAGATGAGGCAGTAACTCATCGAAGAAGACATTGCGAAGTGGTCGCGCTATGTTGTGAATTGGCAGAAGTTAGAATTTAAGGACCATTGGATCGGGCCCCGGTGGCTTAAAGGTCTACGAGCTAGCTCGCTTTGTAACCAGAATATCCTGGGTTCGAACTCCGGTGGGTGCGTACTGATGAGGAGTCCCAGACTAATACGAAACAGCTATCCAGTACTCCGGAGTTTTCCAATGGTTCTCTGACTGATGTCAACTCATGATGAAATCCTCCAACCAATCAAACATGAAAACGTCTTCACAAAAAAGAATTTCTATCTATGTCACTACAACTCAGAATAACTCTATGGTAAACTTTTTGACATAGGGAATTCCGAATATAAAAATTTGAATAAGTTTACTACATATTGACGAGTACATAAAGGCTCTCATTTATGTAAGTCTCAATGGTAACCAAGTTGTGAACAATAGTTGATGCGTGTAGTATTCGTAACTAAATGACACTCTAATCAGGAACTATTCTCAATGGGACGATTAACAACAAGGTAAAAATGATTCAGTAAGCAAGCAACACTAATCTCTAACTTCACATAAATAAGTTATCCAATGTAACTAAATAAATTCCATTGTACTTCAAGGTGAAAAGCTTCCTACAAAGCAATCAATTCAGTCATTTAATAACTTAGCACCCAAGTGTATTCGACCTCCTAAAAACACACAAAAGAACAAGAATAAAAGTATTTGAATGGAAAAATAGGTTGATCATAAGGTAAAATACAAAAGGGAGTTTAAAAATATGAGTGTAATTACACAATACGTCATTTCAGTATTGCTGAAGCCTTAGCCATTCATTTAGAGAAACCAGAGTTATGTATGCGAAAGAAAATCATTCAACCACTTCTACTATCTTGGTAACAACAGTGTTGACTTCTACTGACTTGATGTCTGTGTGCTTGTTTTCTTCTAACTCTTTATAACATTTGTAATTTTCAGAACTCCTACATAATCCCATATTTTCATATCACAACTCACTCATCAAATTATTTATCTTATTACGCAACTGTGTTGCGCGTATCCAACTTCTTTGATTTCTTAACAAATATATTTTCTGACAGCACATCACTACTACCTTCTTACCAATCTTCACCCCCACCTCTAGTTATAGTTTGATTACTCATAACATTTTTGAAATGTCTTGAAAACAAATCACCGAAAATACCCACTGAGTCATGAAGAAAATGAAAGACAAATTCAGCGAAGAAAATTTTCTTTATCGACGAAATCATCTTCGGAGGCTGTACATTCGTATTTATACTTACCAAAAAATAAATACTGATCTATCATTGAGTAATAGGGGGTGATATAATTAATATAATTGTTAAATTGACACTCAAATACCTTTATTCTCACTCAATAGCAATTTTAACCTTATCAAATTTCTATCTTTGTGCTATTGAGTACCACATAATTTACAACTTTTAATTTTCACTTCTAAAGCCACTTCCCAGTAATTATATCAATTATGTCACCCCCTATTACGCAATAATAGACCAGTATATATTCTTTGGTAAGGTATAAATACGACAACAACAACCCTAACTTATTTTTATTCTTACCGGACAAAACTAATGTACATACACACACATACAAAAATAAGTATATATAATTGAGACTGTACAGCTAAGTAAATTAATCCACTGAACTACGTATTTTGTTTTCATTAATATCAGTGACAGATTAAAAATGACTTTGATACTCCAGATAACCAGATGAAAATCGGAGGTTACATGACTTATCAGAACATAAATATGCTTTGACGAGTTGATCACCGATTGATATTAGTTAGAGAACCATTGAAAACCAGCTGTTTCATCCTAGTTTGGGAATCATTGGCAGTACGAACCCACCACAGTAGGGCCGGACCCAGGACCTTCCGGTTACAAGGCAAGCTCGTATACCATTCAGACACTTGGACCCTATTCAGTGGTCCATGAGTTCTAACTGTCCAGTACTCCCTAGTTTTAAATGGTTCTCTAACTGATATCAATCCGTGATCAACTCGTCAAAACAAATCTAATCCTTACAAACCAACTATTGAAAATAAGTATGCTTCATTGTTTGTAATTCAAATAATATTCCCTAAAGACTGTTCACAGACTTAATACTTTTATGTAGCACTGGAAAATTTATGAAATAATTTTATCAACTACTACATGTCGCTCAATCTTGTTGACAATTTTCCAATGTTTTAAATGTGAGTAGAAACATCTTATCACGATAAAAAGTACACTTATATATGTACTGTAAAGACATGAACTACTCATCAGAGATGAATTAAATAAGTGACGTCAGTTAGACAACCATAATAAGAGTTTTTGAATAAACTTCATGATTTTCTAAATAAATCAACCATAAAAGCATATGCAGCGATAACGATATTTGACCAGTTAACTTCTTATGCAAAACAGGTGTAAATCAACATCCCTGTATCATAATTCTTTTTCTTCAAATGTAATGAATTATTCTAAGACACGATGCAAAATTTCATGCACTGTTTACATGCATTCAGTATTGAGTTCAGATATGATAGAGAAGATTTGTAGCTCAGGTGGATGATTTTGATGTGGTTGTGTTCTCTGAGCTGGATGGTTAATTTGAGAAGCTTTCATCACCCTACTGGGTGACATCTTCAGTGCATACTTCAATTTGAAGTGAGCTTTTAGATTTCTCCACGAGTTTATTAATCATCTCTCCTGGTGACTTTGGACGTGATTGGTTGTTTTTGTGTGTTTTCACACCTTCCAGGCTACTTGTATTGGAACTGATGGTTTCCTTGGCTTGAACTTTGATCCTTTGTGTGTGAAGTTTCTTTCTTATCGGTTGATAAATTTTGTCTATCTCTATGTGTCTGTTGATGGGTGATTCACTGGAATGCCAAGCTTCTAAAAATTCTCTAGCATTCTTATTCTTTCCTCTGTCTAATATTTGAACGTTGTCCCAGTCGAATTGATGTCCGTGGTTGTCTGTGTGTAGTGATATGAGGGAGTGGATATCATGTCGTTTGACGGCTAGCTTATGTTCGTGGATACGAAGATGAAGGGGACGTCCACTTTGGCCAATGTAGTGTTTTTCGCAGTTGTTATAATTTATTTTGTAGATGATGTTGGTTTTATCTTCTTTCTCTGTTGAGTCTTTTGGTTGACATAGAATTGAGTGAAGCGACTTTGTTGGTTTGCGTACGACGTCAATTCCTAAAGGTCTGAAGAGTCTCACACACAAAGGGTCAGTAAATCAATTCAGGTACAAATAAATTTAGGTTATACCTAAACAGCATACGTTTTTGGAAGATAAAAATAGTAACCTGTTAAGTCAGAACATAGCCAGACTAATCAAGTCTGGGGACTGTCAACCATATAAACAAGCTACTAATTACAGTTTCCAGGCATTTGATTGATTTCAAGTTAGATCAAAAACTGACATCAGTTTGAGAATCTCTGAAGACCAGAGAAGTACTAGACGGCTTGGGTCCCCCTTTAGTAGTGTGCACCTATGAACTCAGAACCTCTCGGTTACAAAGTAAGCTCGTTGATCATTCCAGTAACTGGAATGGAATCGAATGGCCTATAAATTCTGACTTCTATTAAGTTAGAAATTAGTGATCATATTTGAAGTTTGTTCAATGCATAATTCTTAGCTAATGAACAAAACACAACTCAAGCCTATATATTTCGTGACGACAATCTAAAGGACGAAAATGTCCATCGTAAATATGAGATTATTTTAAACAAAATTCTAAAGCATACTAGTTTACTTTCTTAAAAATTATAGATATATGCATAGTATTATTTAAAAGAATTTCGTTTCTGCACAGAATAAATAAATTTCCATCACTTCCCATTCTTTTATCCGAATTGCACAATCTCCGCATTCTGACTAGGTGTCAAATTAATTTGTCATGATTTGACTTATACATTCAACTGGAATCTCTGATGACATAGGGGTGGAGTGTGGATATGTATTTTCAGTACATTAAAATCATACTTAATTTGACAGTGTCGGGTGAGGAATTATAGATATAGAGTTGATCAATACGTAAACCATATGAAAAACTAGCTGGTGACGAAATCTGACCCACTACTATCTATACAGAGTCATTTTAACATTTCATGAATTGAAACCAAGGAGCTCACAATAATCTCCATAGATTGTAGCAATACTTCGTGGCTAGTCTCAACTTTCTTCCAATCTAACTTTATTTCAGTAAACATTCAAGTCAGAAGATTGACATTTGCAACAAACTATCCAGCCAACTCACACAATGCACTTGTTCAACCTCACTAAATGATCTATGTCGTCTAAAACCCTAATGAAAATGTCTGCATTATCTAAACATCTGTCCGATAGCATAACAGTTTTTACTCTAAAATATACACAATCTTTCACAAACTGTTAAGTGGTTTTTCCCAAGGGGTCTCCACTAGGACGTAACAAGGTATTAATTAACAGATGTTAACTAACTAGAAGTACATTCTATCTCATGATACTAGATCACAAGCTACTTGAATACCCAAGGAAATGAAACAGACCTAATATTTACAAATTTCCAATCTCTTGGGGATACAGTCAACACTTTAAATCCAACTAACTTTTAATTAGGGGGGACAGCAGTCACAAATCATCCTCAGTTTTATGTCGCTGATTTGATGGCGTCCGTCTTGGAGGAAATCTTAATTTGAAGTGTCCCCTTGTTACTAGGCTAGCATTTATACATACATACGGAGTGCTTCAAATGTAGCTTCAAAATATAATGTTCTCTCAGTGGGGGGTTGAGTTTACATAAAACATATCGTCAGACAAACAATATATCAAGTGTTGGTTTGTAGGGATTTGATTGGCTTCAGGATTTCATCATGAGCTGACATTAGTTAGAGAACCATTGGACAACCTGGGAGTACTTGACAGCCATTTCGTCTTAGTTTGGGACTCTTCAGCAGTACGCACCCACCGGGATTCGAACCCAGGACCTTCCGGTTACAAGGCGACCTCGTATACCATTAAGCCACCGGGACCCAGTACTCCCAGGTTTTCCAATGGTTCTCTAACTAATGTCAGCTCATGATGAAATCCTGAAACAATATATCAGTTTAATCCTATGGTAATAAATGGATCCCATCAAAAAATACATTTATAATTGTTATAAAGAATATTTTAATTCACTATAAAAAAAAGAATGTGTCAAACATCAGGAGTTGTAACAAAAATTAAGTCTAAAGCTATGTAGTCAGTTTGTGAAAAAGATTTTGAATTAGATTGTGGACATTGACTATGTTTATGCGGTGACGACAATGTGAGTGGATTTTTTTTAACCTAAAACTAACAGATTAACATTTTATTTATTTATTTATTTTATTTTGATTACAGCTTGATTCCACACTGTATTTTTGGTACACGTATGGAATTTTCAGCGTGGATATCGGTAGCCCAAATTTCCCAGGCCGACCATAGATATCGGGTGTGTGTCGGCGGGCTATCGAAACTCTGACCATGTGCATGGTCGGCGAGAGTCCTAACCACTGTGCCACCGACGCACTATTATGCCTAAAATCAACTTATATGAGGAATGTTTAAAACTCTTAGAACAATTAAATTAAATAAAAGCAGAACAAACCTCATGTCTAGCGAAAAATTCGGACACTTCAAGCGCACTTCTTAATTTCAGCAATTGAGTCAAATAAATTCGCTAAACAAAATAATAGCAAACAGAAAATCAATACAGTGATAATAATTTCTAAAAAGTTATGCTAATAAACAATCTTACTCACAAAATGTCAACGAAGTCACATTTACAAACAATCAATTTCATAAAATTATTTCCCTTTATACACTTAAACAGAGCAGGAATAACGAATTGATAAGGGATAAAATGATGTCATTGAAAGGAATCAACGAAACACAGTGACTTTATTTTAACTCAACTTATATTTTCTCGCGGTCTAGTGGATAACGCTTCAGTGTTTGAAACGATGGGTACTGCGTTCGAGCTTGAGCGGTAACACACACACTGACTGGGGAATGAAGGTGTAACCCAGAAGACGAGTCTCGAATGGGAGGAAGCGCGCATCCTGGATTCCACTGGTAGTCACCAATCACCAAATTACTTCAAATAATGACTTGTTACCCCGCTTAACTTATCGCTCTAACTTTGTTCAGTTTCAATTTGTTAAAAAGTCAGCATAACAAAGATCATTATAAGAATGTGTACGTTCAAACTCACTGATTGATCAACGTAAACGTTTGCAGAGAAGTGCATCAGTTGAAGTTACCGCAATGTAAATGTGCAATGTAAAAGAAAACTAGTGAAGGTTTCCAGGATCTGAGAGACGATGAAGAATGAAGACATTAGCAAACGATTCTGGTTTAACACAGCAAGACTCAGTTGGATATTTTTGGTATTGCTGGTTGGTTTAACTGCGAAGCTTTCACTGTCCATCTGAACATCAGCGCCAGCTTCTTAGCGTCCCTCCTAAGTAACGCAGACTAACAGTCAATAACTTCATGGATTAATATCACGTTTTGATCTGACAACCTGGAATGATATCCAACCCAAGATAATACTGCTCGTGAAGGGATGCAGTGATACCAAAGGAAGGCAACAGAATAGCTGCAAACCTCTTACTACTGCAGGCCGCGTGTGACCGGCCTCAAGCAGTTGTCCCCTGGGCTCTGCGGTCACGCAACCAACTTCCACGGTGTGGGCAGCCGGGAAGTAACAAACGCCCTCACAATCCGAAATGTACACAAAACCTCTCTTACTACTGAAGAATATCAAGAGATCTTTCATTCATTCAAGCACGACAGACAAAAATTTCCCAGTCTCTACTTCTTAATTCTATTCAATTTTCAGCCTACACAATTCGTGGAGTGAAAAGTAGGTTAGTATGCCTAAATACGTGATACAACCATACAAATTAAATGGAATCACAAGCTTTACACAAAGTATGGTTGTATGCTTAACTACATATTCCACATACTACAAGGTGACACAATACTACTCCAGACATAATAACCATATGCTGAAACATACTACAATTCCTGCTCATATGTAAAACGAATTCTGACTAGTCTGCTGGGCTAACTCACAAAAATTAGAGTGGCTTCCAATTACTTATAGCAAACAGCAAGAAATACCATCGTGAATTTATGATGGCTTTCTTGACTGCCAAGCAAGTCACATATTATGGATGAAATATTTTGGATTTCTAAAGGAAAAGGTCGTGAACTTTCATCCGAACCATGTAATTGGCAAAATTTGATCCCATAGACACATTTATTGAACCTTGTTTCAGTTGTTCAAAACTGGAGAGTTATACTAAACGCTAAAAATGTTAATGCCTATCTATACAAACATATTACTTTTCTTTAGAATTAATATTAGAGCCTTCCTACATAGAAGAATTGAAGTTGAATATAAATTTCAAAAAGTCATAAGAAAAAGATGGGATAACTCGTTGAAATGTGAACTTTAGCTATTATTTTCGGTATTATTAAAAAGCCAAGTCTGATACACTGCAAATGAAGGGAAATTCTGAAAAGCAGTCGGGTGAAATTTGAACACATTTCGACATCTAGTCTTTGAATACCACCTAAATTATACAATAATAACAAATTTATTGCTGCAGATGCCTTAAAATAAACAGATACTTAGATCTAATATGATACCCTACGACCCATATATATATATATATATATATATATATATATATATATATTTCTAAAAGAACCAGTCGGTAAACATGATCAATTACATCTCAGTCAATAATTTTGATATCGGAAGACTGAATCGTTGACTTTGCGCGATCTATTGACACACCAAGCTGGTTCCAAAATATGCAGAAATTGCATTGTTATTACTTACGTAGACCGATTTCAAGTTCAGAGATTTACAGTAACCTTATTTTACTGATTTGCCAGTTTTCTAGCCGGTTTCAAGCCCGGGTAAAGGGGGGAGGGTAGAGATCCTAACACGGAAAAGTAACGAAACTGCCACAGAAACTTCACTTTTCTAACTGATATCAATCCGTGGTCACGAATGAAACAAGTCAAATCCCCACAAAAAAAATTCTTGAAAACAGGGAAGGTTAGGTGTGGGGCTAGAGACTCTACCCTTGAAAACCAATCCACCCACTACAGAAACTTCAAAGCACAATAAAAATAGAAAAAATAAACTTATTCTTTACTGGAACAAGACAGACAAAGTCACACAGGCTGGTGAAAGCCTTCGGGAAACCAGACAAAAGATGCGACTTATTCCGATGAGAATATTAAACACTGGAATGTCGTACAGCGTACGGTGTTAGGAAGGCTGCCCATATGGCCACAGAAATGCGAAAATCTAGCATAGAAGTGTTGGGAATCTGTGAGAGCAGATGGAATGGATGTGCACTATCGAAATTGCTACCTGCACAGTCAATAATGTACTCCGATCATCCAGAAGACAACCATGAGCAAAATCACGGAGTGACTATCATGATGTTAACAACGTCACCTACAGCTCTTATGCAGAAGGAACCAATCTGCTTCCGCAAGATTATGACAGCAAGATTCAACTCAAAGGGAAGGTTACAATTATCCAATACCGCGCTTCTACAAACAACTTAGAACAAGGGAAAAAGGAAGATCTCTATAGACAATTAAAAATAGTAATGGACAGCATCCCAAATGGTGACATCAAAATCCATACAGGCGATATGAATGCCAACCGAACAGGGAGCAGACAATACAGGAAGAGAATTCACCACAAGTTGATAAAGCTCTCGGTGAAATGAAGAATAACGGAGAACTCTTCGCAGACTTCTCCACATTCAATAATTTGATGACTGAAGGCACCGTATACGAACAGGAGGACATACACGAAGCAACATGGATTCCACCCGAAGGAGATACCAAAAACCGAGCATACTTCATCTCAACTCTGTTCAAGGAAGTGGAGTTGTAGTGTGGTGGACACAATGTCGAGAAGGGGAACAGATATGGACTCACCATTATCTGGGGCAAGAAACTTCAAGGTCGAGCTAAAAGCATTCAAAACAACTGCAAACGACAATTCAAGTTAAACACTCAGAAAATGAAGGACAAAACTACAAGGGATGTCTTCCCTGTAGCCATCAGACAAAATTTGGAGACTACGTGACATTGCTAAGGAAACCTAAGTAGCAGAACATTGGAAAACTGTGAAACTGACGTTCAAGGAAACCTGTAGTGCCGTTCTAAGAAAAAAGAAGAGGCATGACAAGGAATGGCTCCCTAAGGACACCCACCTGGAAGCTAACAGATGGTGGTGAAATGGAAGATGAACCAATGAAAACATTGACAACAGAAGGACAAGCTGAGTTCAATGTAAAGAGTACTGAATAAAGAAGTATAGAAGAGTGTCAGGAGAGACGAAATACAACTCCACAATACAATGGAAAATGAAACAGAACAGACTGGCTGCAAGCAAAAGAGACCTCAGAATATAATATCAAGTAACTAGGTCTCTATCCGGGATGACATCACCACAGATGAAACCAATAAAAGGTGATCCAGGAAACCCAATTAGCAAAGAGGAGAGACAAAGAAAACAATGAGATGATCACTTCAAAGTCGACTATCACCTGCAACTCGTCCAGAGGTACCACCAACACCAACACCACGCACACAACTGCCTGCCAGTGGACATCAATCCTCCAATATAAACAGGTGTCTTGAATGCAGTCAAGACAGAGAAGTCCAGGAGGACAACAGGATCAGACAGAATTCTTCTTGAAACACTGAAAACGAACTTAGTGTTCGCAGAGGATATGCTCACGCCACTATCGCAAAACGTTTGGAAGGAAGCATAGGTACCCACTGATTAGAAGAGAGGCTACATTGTCATACTACCAAAGAAGTGCGACTTAGACCTCTACAGGAACTGGTGCACAATCATGCTCTTGTCCAAGCTAAATAGCATACTGAGTCGCATTATTCTGGAGAGAAGAAAAACGTGCACTGGATGCAGAACTCCACCAACCGAGACAACCTGCATTCTAGAAATTCAAATCATGTCTTGACCAAATTGCAGCTCTAAACACCATTATCATCGAGCAGAGCATAGAATGGCAGACAAACCTCTCGCTCTCTATCTCAACTTCATCGACTGTGAAATGGTCTTTGACAATGCTGACCACAAAGTAATTTGGAAACTATCTCGACACTATGGCGTGCAGTGCCTAAATCTTTATCAACCTCATTCAACAACTGGCTATATGACAATGCCACTTGTCAAGTGATCCACAACGGAAAAGTCGGAGAGGCGTTTCAAGTGAACACAGGAGTAAGATATAGCTGACTATTAGCACGGATGATATTCTTAATTGTGGCAGACTGGATTATGCAGAGGCGAAAACCGACAAACCAGCAGAAGAAGTAGGCAGTGACGGAAGGCAGGACATAGGACAAGTGAACAGAGTAAACAAAAGTGATGAAGATAAACAACCAACCAATCGACAGTAACACCAACAACAACCAGCACTGATCACCATCAACCGGGAAGATTTGACGGTGGTCACTTCCTTCACTTATCTAGGCAGCTAGTATCGTTAAAGCTACAGGTGGGACGGATAAAGATAGGAAAGTCAACCAGAATGGGAAAAGCAAGACAGACTCATTCATCACTCTGAATTCAGTTTGGAAATCTTCTGCACTCACTCAGTATCAGGAACAAACTTCGGATTTTCAATACAAGCGTTAAGTCAGTCAGTCGGCTTTTCTATATGGGTGAGAGACTTGCATTGGGTGTCACGAAAAGCATTTCTAGTCGGTCACTGTAGACATCCACCAACTGCTGCCTTCACTGGGTCCATATTGAAGATAAAATGGCTAACCAGAATGAACTAGCAACGGGGAACTCTGGAAACGAACGAACGAACAAACTAAGCAATCAAGAACCTTTTCCTCAACAAATATGTTGAAGTAAATGCAGGTGGAATGGGGACATGCTGTGGAGATTGTCGAGTGACATCGCACATCAGGCCATCTCTAGAGTGGAATCAATCCGAATACGAAACGAGTTGGGTTGTGGTTCATGTGTGACATGGAGGAAATCGTGTGAGGACGAGATGAGAGCTCATGGGCAATCGTGGGGCCAGCTTCACTTTTGCTTTTTGATTACAGCTTGATTTCACACTGTATTTTTGGTACAAGTATGAAATTTTCAGCGTGGATATCGGTAGCCCAAATTTCCCAGGCCGACCATAGATATCAGGTGTGCGTCGACGTGGGCTCGAACCCCGGACCATGTGCATGGTCGTCGAGAGTCCTAACCACTGTGCCACCGACGCAGAATAGGACAAAATGGAGATGTGCTGTTGAGGTCCTATGTTCCACTTGGAACTCAAGGGGACAATAATAATGTAATAATATACATAATGGAACATAGCAAGAAGGAAAACTTACAACAAATATGAAACCAGTGAAATTTATTCGTAGGCAAATCTATCTTAACTGCTCTAATAATTACAGTTCATGTGACAAAAGATGTTACAACTAAAAGAAAACAGATACAAGTACTTACAGCAATTGTTTTACGAGATTTTATAAAGAATTTGAAATAAGTAGTCAACTCATCCCACGTACGAGTATGTTGGAAGTTGCGTCGGGTACATTCACCATGTGTCTAGAAGAAAAGTGTAAGAGTTATTCACGTAATTTAGCTACATGACTCTTTAGTACAGACAATGAAAAAACTGTGAAATAACGAGTGATAAATGCCCTATTACCTCTTACCTTTTTACTTCGTTTTTATCACCATTTTCAGTTCATAAACGGTGTTGTTATTACTGGTCTTATTCAGCGCTAATTGATTCTTAAAAGTGTAATTGTTTGACAGAATAGTATGCATAGTGGATGTAAGTATTTCATCATAGTCTATATTCATTATATTACCTACTGTCTAACTGATTTACGAAGGAGCTATAAGATATAGCCATGATATTAATCCGTGACACACAAAAAGAGAATGAAATAATGTGCATCTACAATCCTGATCTAAATTATCAGCTTTAATATGTGTGCATTTTGTCACACCGGTTGATTCCATACTTTATTTTGCAGCCTTAATTATATCCCCTTTTGTCTAATTGGCTGGTGACATTCCCCACAATATTCTATGAAACATTGGAGTGCTCCCCAACAAACTCAAATATGTTGTTTATGTTGGTTTGTTAAGATGAAATAATCTGACATTTAAGCTTGGGTTAAACATCCTACTAGTGTTTTCTTATCATTTGCAACAGTGCACAATAATATTTTATTTAAACAATTTACCTTAATTGCTTCTATACGAAAACCAAACTCAGCCGTTGAACTAATTGAATCACGCCATTGCAAGTAACGTATTTTCGAAACACCTTTATCTTGATGTTCCTTATCAGTGGGAGCACTAGGAGACGTAGAAATCATCTTCAGGTATAGGTCCTAGTTTGTGGAAAAGTTTTAAAACAGACAAATAGGAAACAGAATCTCGAACATTTAAAATTAGAAACAACTACGAATACTGTCTTTACATAACCGCAGCCTAATAAAAACTGTATTTTACGACATACAGACAATGAACTATGATCATATGCGGCTGTACAGCTCTCGAGAACGCACAGTCAACAAAAAATTCTCTCTATGAAGTCCTTCTTTTTTAAATTCCTTTCAAAGTGACAAAAATTACTGAAAACTTATTTTGAAAACAAAGCATATTCAGATTGCTACATTTATACATTGATTATTTACCACTCACTTAAATCCTTTTTTTCCTTTACGTCCCTGGTGGAACATAGGGCTTCAAGCTAGAAGCTTGAAGCTTCTGTAGCAGTGGTGATTATTTTTATAGGATGGGGTTGCTAGCCTTACGCCCAACCTTCCCTCCTACTACTGGCTTAGCGAGGTAAAGGAGTGCGTCGACCGAGGATCGAATCCCGGACCACCTGAGTGTTCGGCGAGCACTCTACCGCTGCGCCAATGACGCACAATTAAATCCCATAACTGGACAATTTAACTGACCACGCAGAGAATGATATCAGTTGAAAGCTCAACACAGTTGTAAGACAATCTTACTTCATATGCTTATCCTCCGAAAGTTACCAAAATGTTCGTTTTAGGTTATCTTGCGTCAACTGTAGACTTTTTAAAGATTATTCATCCGTAAAACATCGACGTCTTCTATCATCACAAAATAAAGTAGTTGCCAAAAAAGTTCTACTCAACAACCACTTTCAATTCCATGCAGTTGGCAATGAGCTATGCCTATTGTGTAAGGGCTAGTGATGCTATTTGACTACTTAAACCTAGGTGGGTGGAGCGGGATTCAGATACACGGCCCAGTCGTTAGAAATCAAACGCCTAAGCTAATGACCTACACAGTCTCACAAAGTAGTTACAGATAAACGGCTAATAATATTAAATCAACTATCACAGTCGTCGTGGATACAACATCTATCGTTGAGTGTCACGATCACACCTGCTGTCGTTTGTTTCTTGATCCATGTCACAGATGCAGCTAAATGGAAGCATCGGAGATTCGTATAGTCTAAAAAACTATCCCATTTCTTCATAACAATAACCGGTAGTCCTGTGCTTACTTACAATTATTTTAGACTTGTCTACTTGCATTCGAGGTGGTATAACATAATAGAATATGTTAGCAAATAAATACGCAAAGTGCGACCACGTAACCCCCAGTATGATGGTGTCACCAATACAAAAAGGAAAGCTTAAATAACTGAATGCTAATAATGACGTGCATCGGTGGCACAGTGGTTAGGACTCTCGCCGACCATGCACATGGTCCGAGGTCCGATCCCCTGCCGACGCACACCGGATATCTATGGTCGGCCTGCGAGATTTGGGCTACCGATATCCATTCTGAAAATTCCATACTCGTACCGAAAATACGGTGTGGAATCAAGCTGTAATCAAAAATAAAAAATTAACAGTAAGAAGTATGAAATTTTGATCAGATCAATAAATAGTAGGGATGTAATTAAGAATACAGGTGATAACGCTGGAAAAATTACTGTCAATAAAAATAATCCGTGTAATGTCAGGGAAAAAATAAAGTCATCGCTTACTTTCCGGACATTTGTTCCGTCTACAGAAACTTCACTTTCTAAATAAGTACGCTGCCCAATTTTACAGTCCATTACTGATGGTGATTTAAAGTTATAGAGCAAATCTTGCATTTTCAAATAACCTTCAGTAATATGACAGTTAAGTGTTAAGGATTAACTAAGACAGCAAAAACATTATTGTACAGCCGAAAGATTCTAAAACATAGGCATGCTTACCAGAATTCAACACTTGTTATATTTGTAAGTCTGTAGGCGCCATTTGACTCGATCGACCAGGAAGTACTGTGACAATCTCTAGTTGTGAACATAGAGCCTAGAAGGTATATGACACTAATCAAGGCACTCTACTCGAACTCCTGCAGTCGTTTAAGTGCTCACGGAAAGTTGTCATGTTTAGTGATGTCAATCAGTGGTATTCGTTAGAGATGCTTATTGTCCCCATTTTTGTCTAATTTCATCACAGGTGTACTAATAGATGTGACCCTAGTCAACTTTAGAGACTTGTGGATTGACTTGCTACCAAGGGATGGATAGTCTCGTCGACTTTAAATATGCAGATTATATTATCTTTCTGAGTACAGATGCTGACAAAATGCAGTCTCCTCTACACCTTAATCAAAAATCTTCGAACATTTTGTATGCAACTCGCCCCTATCAAATTTAAGTTTATGTTAAAGTATGGTCTGCACCAACTGCCAATTTAAAGGAGAGTGAAGTGGAAGCGAGTGTTGACCACTTCACTTATGAAGTAAGTTGAACCAGTTACGACAGACTGGTTACTGATGAAATCTCGGCACGGACACAAAGGTTCGTGTGACATTTGCCAACTTATGTCATCTCTAGAGTAGACCAAAGAACATTTGTACTGCGCAACAGCTTGCCCTGTCCGTCTTTAGGGCTGTGAAATGTGACCATGATATTGGCAGATCTGAAAAAGCTTGTTGTTCTTGAGCACATACTTGCCTTCCATCTCCAGCGTCAAGTGGTATAACATGGTGAGCAACTCTGAGGCTAGGAGTAAAGCATTAGCTACAAAAGCCAAATCAGTCAGCGAGGTTGTGAAGCTATATCAGCTGAGATGGCCAGAATACATGTTGCGCATACTGAGCCATCGTATGCCTCGACGAACAATGTCAGTTGACATAAGACTAGGTTGGAAAAGGACTAGAGACCCAACCAAAACCTGGCATCAATCCATGAAGTTTTTGACAGTGACTTCGAGTTACGTAGGAGGGTGAAAACTGCCTGGTCGGGGACCTCAGGATGCTAAGAACAAATGATTGCTTACTATTGGTGATACGAATGAAAACTTTTTACCATAGCTCAAATGCATTTCCCAGACCCATTAAATCCTCAAGTTTTTCCATGTTATTATTCTAGCTATCCATTATAGCTCTTTTGGATTTTCTTTCCTTAACTGCTGTGTACCACATGCTGTAGCAACTTGAACTGCTGCACCTATGTGCAAAGTTGCACGTTGAAAATAAGTCAATGTGTATAAAAGAAAGATTAACTTAATGAAGGTTAGTGAAGATGGTCAGAATTTAGACAAGTGCATGCATCTGTACACGATTCTCCTTCGACTTATTGTAATGCCTCCCGATAATAACTTCTAGAATCCTGATGCCACTATGACAATTTACACCTATTTGCATACCTCAGATTAACAGTCAATGACTTCATGGAATGATGCCATGTTTTAGTGTGATGAATCCTATATATATATATATATATATATATATATATATATATATATATATATATATATATTCGTCTATTGCGCACTAGCACATGGAGAGAAACTTGATAGAAGTAAAAATACCAAAATAATCCAGATGAACAAACAAAAGGCTTTAATTTTTAACCTCGAAGTGTTTATTTTGTTCCACTAAAAAGGATACGTTCACCATTCAGAAGTTTCTCGCCTTGATACTGGGGAACAAATGACCTGAGTACGTCCAACTGGAGCTGTAACAAGCACTGAGCTTCACACTGACAGTAACGCTTTAAGACGCTCCCTTTACCGTTCGATATTAGACTGCCTAAACAAAATGCGTAAAATTACAAAAAGAACTACGGTAAATCTAACTTTAAACTACTGACCTGGTGAAAACACATGATAACCGAAAAAAGTTATCTCTACACAGTTCTTAATGTAGAAAACTAAGGAAATGTTACATATCGAGACCACAGATAATAAAATACCAACAAACACAGTTTAAAGTGGGGTCATGGGTTTATAAGACCGAAAATATGAATACTTCACATTTATCTACTGTTCATCTTGTATGAATATGTGATGTGAATAAATGAACACAGTTTATTCCAAAATCATCAGAATCCAAACAAATAATGGTGGTCAAAACAATAAAGCAATAACAAGTTGTTGCTGATTCGGAGCACTATACATACACAGTATAACCTAAGTAAAACTGGAAGCTGAATTGTGTGATATAAAAATCGTAAATTAGCTTATCTACACGTTTAACTTTAAAAAAGTTTGACAGTAAATTTCATTATGTGTATCGGCTGTCTAGGTTATTGAATAAACAGAAAGCGAATTCTGACGGTACCCATCAACATAAAACTATGGTAGAAAAAAGATATTACAATGACAATTTGGTTCCACTTCACTGGCATGCTCGAAAAATTTATTAAAGAGAATAATTTCGAGCTTTTGTGCTGGTGAAACAATTAAAATATTTGGTTTACACGAGCCTTGATAGTTTTTCAGTAAGCCGTGATAAAAACCTATACAGTATCATCAGTTAATCAGAAATGAAAGTCACACAACTTTCTCACAAAAGAAAAACAATTTCATCGTGTTAAACGAACCTTCATGCCCAGACAGTTGCACCCAAGAAACATTCTGCTTAGCTCTAGCATCAAGAGGCTTTGACAACGGTTTTAACAAATACCTTCTCCAACTTTTCTTGCCTAACTTTACCTAGAAAAGTATAAAAAAACATAGTCTAAATTACGCGCAACATTGAAGTTACATGAACAGAACTGATGATTTAACAGATATCCTCCAAAATGTCAACGTCATCAACTATCATGAGCAATCCACCTCGGTAGTGTACATATAGTCACTTAAGTGCCACTAACCTAGTAAAAGTAAATAAGTTAGGTATTCTGAGCGTGAATGTCAAAGTGTAATTGGATCAAAACTTCTCCAGTGTTCTTGAAATATATATGCATTTACGAAGTAAAAAACAGATGACGGAAGTTGCCATCATGGCTAATTGGCCTTTAATTAAGTAATAAAGTCCAAATGGTAGACCAAGATGAACTTAAAACAAAGTGACCACAAAACTGAACTCGCAACATACAGAGTTTCATAAGCTGAAGATCAAATTATTAATTATATTTTAGTCAGTAAATAGTACGATGGACACTTCCACAGGCATTCATGCAAGTTGTATCCAACGTTTCTCTATGCAGTTATGAGTTGTTCCGTTTGATACAAATGCTGAGAATTCCATTCTGTATTATAAGTATTATTATTATATTACAGATTATTCTTATTATCACATGTTAATCCACTTTACGGCTCGACATAGCTCATTTGTCTGTGCAAATTCTAGTAACTTCGATTAATCCATACTTTAGAGGGGAGTTAAAAACTGCATTTTCTTTAGACTCGTTACGCAAACTCTGGAAAAAGGCGTAATTTTACTTTGTTATACCACCTGTTATTCTAACTGGGTGTCGACGGTCGTGTACCAAGTTAGCTGATATAGTTTAACTTCACCTTGAACAAAACTTGTTTAAAAAACAGCTACAAATAAAATTGTCATTTTTTACTATGTATATACTCATACAAACCCACGTGTCCCTCATCGTTATCACATGAACCGATTGTAAACTCACCATTTCTGTTGACTCTGTAGTTGATGAGGCATTCAGACCCATGTAACAGGTGGTTGGGTAATATGATCACCTTTTAAATACCCCAACCATTGTCACAATAAGACGAAAACTAAGAGCATTAGAATGCAGCGCTCCCTACAAACCTAGCGCTGATTGTTTATCCAATATCCAATACCTAACATTTTTCAAAAAGTTTGCATAAACCTTGTGATTTATTGTGATTTCAAAACACTTCTAGGTTTTCGGAAGACAAGGTGTCCCCTTAGTTCCTACAGCTCTGCTGGACGCACTCAAAGATGGTACGTTTGTTCGTTCTAACATAAGGGTGAGACAAGACAGCCATGGGCTATCAGACATATGGCGAGGGAGTCTCCGGAACTGATGCCTTCCACCTCTATGGTGGTACACGGTGTTCCGGAGCTGGAAACCGGCACTGCTTGTGAAAAACACATGCACGACGTACAGCAGTGGAGATGGCTGTCATCTCAGATGGCCCCTGGCGCTTCTGGAGCCATCTCCATTTTCCGACCGTCCCGCTCATCTAACACTGATTAACTGTCCAAAGCTGCCATGTGTCACATTCAACTCCTCGGAGCAGTTGCCCATAGCACTTCAACGGTGGTATGAGACCAGGGGAAAAATTGGAGGACACATCCGATGCTGTGAAAGCAGACCCCGAAATATAAGGAGGCAGCAAACTGAGGCTTTAACACGTCCCCAAGCTTCAGTGACAGTAGAGCGATGCAGTTCTGAGAATGGCAGTCTCAGTCACCCAAGTGTCCTGCCTAAATCCATTGAAAAAAACTACAACGGGCCGGCTCTATCGGAATCGGCCAACTAGTTCCAACTTCAAGTCCCCTACCAGCAGACAGTTTCACGTCAACTACCCCACAACACTCTGAGGTTGTTAGACTCACTGTCAGTTGCCTATATAGCAATGTGAGGGGGCTGAGAGGAAAAGTAGGTGAACTCCGAAATCTCCAAGCACACCAACTGAAAATGATCATTCTCACTGAAACGTGGCTAAACCCCACTATCGCCGACAATGAAATCAGTACAGGTGATATGGTTCTGGTCAGAAAAGACAGGGATAATAAGAAAGGAGGGGGAGTTGCTATATACTCTGATGGGCAACTCAAATGTGTGCGCACAACGGACCCACCATTTATTGAACTCCCAGACTCCATATGATGCCATTTCACCGTAGGCCACACCAAGCACTTACTGGGTGGCATCTACCTCCCTCCCACCTGTGGGGCAGAGCACAATCAGCTGCTGCTCAGCACTATCACAGAGGTACGAGATTTGGGCCACGACCAAATCGCCATAGCTGGAGATTTCAATGCCCCATCACTGAACCTCGACTTGGGATGTGCTAAGGGAAAATTTGGCCGAAACCTACTGCAAACTATTCGAAACAGGGGACATACTAAGAATGTTGGAGACAACACTAGGTGAGGCCCTAGTGGAAAGTCATCAAAATTAGACTATATTCTAACTAGTGAACAACTACCCGTGTCAATCACGTCTCATAAACCGTTAATGCCCAGCTCTCGCTACGCTCGGGCCCACGCTGTTCCTCGAAGATTTCAGAAACGCTTAGTTATAACGGACGAAAAAACCAAAACACCGATCTGCCGCTTGATATTTCTTTATTGTTACACCAACATATAAAAAGAATAAGTGAACTAAGGTCTGAAAACAAATATTACAATAATAAATCATTGTATTACTTCTGACGATGTTTCACTCTTCTTTCTGAACAGCGACCGATGAGACGATGACTGTCGTATTGATGCCTCCGCGAAAATTGGGGAAGTTGATTTTAAGCAAACAACCAAGAATTGATCGTTCAATCTTCAACTCCATTGACACTCCCCGGCAAAAAAGGGATCCAACCCTTTTTTCCTTCACGACCAATGCACGTTGACTTGGATGCCATTGCGAGAACCTGGGTCACACGGACAGAGCTGAAATGGAAAACAAACAGAAAAGCCAACACACCACAAGCATACCCACAGCACAATCTCACACATCAATGACGACCTGCGCCTCCAGACAGAGACCTCCTCTTGACATCTTGCAACACAATCGCCACTTACTAGAATGACTCTTGCAGAATGCAAAGTGACCATAGCACCACCTCACGATACTCTACGCACATCCTCTTATCTACTCACTACCAATTACCACTGAAATCGCTTGTCACTCATTCTGCCTCAGTTCTAGTAACGGTGACGCATGCGAGCCTCAGTCGTTTACACTCTTTCTCCCCGGCGTGTCGGACCGCAGCTAACAATTATCTCCGTGTGCATTTCATTCTCAGCAATAGCCTAGCCTCCCCGGCGTATACGACCCATCTGCTGTCCTTAACATCAATCAATTCATTCATGGATGTAGAAGACTCGAAACAACTTCAGAAATAATCACGACGAAAATTTTAACAAAATTACGCAATAACAACAAGACACGAAAACAACAAGTAAACACAATGAATCCAAAATCACCAATTGCTATGACACACCACACGTATATACAAATAGTACAAACAAACTCGCCGATCATGTCTTGGTGGAATTCCTTTGAAGAATTGCAGGACTTACACCAGTACGCCTACAACCCTTCTCAGGTTGACGATTGTAATTTGTGGAATGTACGGACACAAACAAGATTAACCAACAATTACATAATTGGAACTCACACAACTATTTAACACAAACATATGTACAATCAACACATCAAATGTTGTGGATTCTGGCATGACAAACTACCCTTGAAGAACTGTAGGACTTACAGCAGTACGCCTACATTCCTTCTCAGGTTGATGATCCAAGTGGAAGTCGTCCGGACACAAACAGAATTACCAACAGCTAGATGACAGATGATATCAATTCAGTATATGCAATATGAACATATGTACAAAATCACACACCAAGCACATTGGACTGCTCATTGATGCGCTACCCTTTGAAGAATTGTAGGACTTACAGCAGTACGCCTACAACCCTTCTCAGGTTGACGCTCTAGGTTGGAAAATCGTCGCAGAGTTCATTTGCTAACTTCCTTCTATGAGCTATATCCTCAAATCTGAACGGCAACACGCCCATGTCATTGTATCGTAGAATATAGATGACGAACAAACACACGACGTATATCATCAACCAAGCGTAGAAACAGAGTAATTTACACCAAAGATAATAACATTCAAATAGTAACTTGAAACTAGAAATGCCTTTATTCGTGCAAGTCAATTTAACAATTACTCTCTCGTTTACACTTGGCTTATCCTCACTAAACTGACCATTGATATTCGTCCTTTCAAACGAACTGATACTAGCATAGTCATTGCACAAGATACTTGAGTTGATGGGTGTCTTTTTCATTGTGGATGACAGCACCAACGACGACTGATTGATATCAGTTGATGAACTTAGCAGTGGATCAAAAGCTGTTGTTGCTCGACTTTCAGAAATTTGTCTACCTGCAAGACCACCACCACTGCTGTCTTTTACTATCAGCTCCGCTTTAGCACTAGCATCTGATGATAGGTGGGCTTTACTCTGATCAATTACACTGACGGTTTGACAAGTATGCATGCCTTCTGCAACTGCATCTGCATTTAATTCTACTTCACGTTCAAGTTGTACAGAACCTTTATTTAACTTAGCGGTAGTAGGCATTCCCCACATTTCATCATGATCAACCAAAGACAAATCTGCACTATCATGATCATTATCACAAATATTCAATTTACCGTCAAGTTCATCATTTTCAAACTCTTTAATAACAGAAGTAGACAATTTTGGTTCCTCCTCACAAATCATTAAAGGTTTTATAACTTCACTCTGACTAGTAATACCTTGTAAACTTGTAGGGTCAGAACTGCACTCTGAAGCAGTAACTCTATTCTGTGACACTCTATTCAACAATGGCTTACCAGTTGCAACTACAGACTTCTTCACCGCACCGTTATCGTCACACAATTCGGAGTCAGGCCTGGAGTTTACATTTAGCTTATCACTGAACTTGCTCACTGGTTCACAGTTCACTTCTGTATGCACCTCTTGCAAACGTGTAAAACACAACCGTGTTTGTCTTGCATCTTGTAACTTATCTGTTGAGGATGTACTACGAAACCTGTTACACTCACTAGGTCTATATGCATTACTAGACATCATGGAGCCTTCTCGATATCCACCTCTCTGAGGCCTATTCGTCATCAATGATTGCGTTTTACTCTCAGACTGCTCTATTCTAGGGGTGAGATTAATAGACTGGCAAACTTGCTCATAGATTGATTGACGCTATTGTTTACCAGTTTCAGGATATCATCAAACTTTGGCTCGATACCCTCATCCTCCATACGGGAGCTTATCTTCACCCACTTCCTTTGCAGTCGAGTAGGTAGGCGTCTTGCTATTACTTCTAGTATAAAACTCGAGTTGAGGTCACTCATGCGATTCATCGAAATCATTCCATTCTTGTAAATTAGCAAATTATCTAAAAACTCAGTGAGTGCCTGGGAGTCATCCTGTAATTGACCACCATTACCCTTAACAGCCTCGAATAATTTCCCTGCAATCATCGAAGGTCTTCCAAACCTTTGACGTAATATGCTCATAGCCTCATTGTAGCCCTCTTTTGGCTTCATAAACTTACAGCACTGTATAGCTCTTGCAGCATCTCCAGTGCAATATCTCATCAAATACATTAACTTCAATTCATCACTTAATAGAAAACTACTCAACATGATCTCAAACTCCTTTACAAATTGTAAATAATCAGCCGGGTTTCCATCAAAACACCGTGGTTCAAATTTAGGGAGTTTGATGTTCCTATTATCCCTGAACGGCGAAACAGTAACATCAACCATGTCATGCTTAACATCAGACACATCGTTACAATTAACAGACAAGTCACCATGACTTACTTTCCTGTTTGCATCCAAGACACTCTGTCCCTTCTTTGACCCAGGCATTGTTGAACTTGACCCAATTCCAAAAAGTTCCAGATATTGCTTGTTCAAAGAGGACTTGACCGGC